CTCTTTATCTGACTTTCAGTTCTAAATGATAGCCTTGCTGGGCAGAATAATCTTGATTTAAGTCCTTGCTTTTAATATTTCTTGCCACTCCCTTCTGGCCTGCAGAGTTTCTGTTGAGAAGTCAGATGACAGTCTTATGGGAGCTCCCTTGTAGGTAACTAACTGCTTTTCTCTTGCTGCTTTTAAGATTCTCTTTTTGTCTTTAAGCCTTGACATTTTAATTATGATGTGTCTTGGTATGGGCTTCTTTGGGTTCCTCTTGTTTGGGACTCTCAGTGCTTTCTGGACTTGTAAGTCTATTTCTTTCACCAGGTAGGGGAAATTTTCTGTTATTATTTCTCCAAATAAGTTTTCAATATCTTGCTCTCTCTCTTCTCCTTCTGCCACCCCTCATGCGAATGTTGGTACGTTTGAAGTTGTCTCAGAGGCTTCTTACACTATCTTCATATTTTTGGATTATTTTTTCTCTTTTTGCTCTTCTGATTGAGTGATTTTTGCTTCCTCATATTCCAATTGTTGATTTGATTCTTGGAATCCTCTACTCTAATATTGAATCCCTGTAAATTATTTTTTTTATTTCAGTTAGTGGATGCTTAATTTCTGACTGGTCCTTTTTCATGTCTTTGACATTCTCACTAAGGTCCTTGAGAGTCTCACTAAGCCCCTTGAACCTCTCTTTGAGTCCTTTGAAACTCTCATCAAGATCCTTGAGTAACCTTATAATCATGGTTTTGAACTCTGTATCCAGTAGTTTGCTTGCTTCCGTTTCATTCATTTGTAACATGTTTCTTTGTCTCCACATTTTGGCTGCTTCCCTGTGTTTATTTCTATGTATTAGGTAGAGTTGCTATATCTCCTAGAATTGGTAGGGTGACCTTGTATAGTAGATGTCTTGTAGGGCCTAGTGTTCAGCCTCCCCAGTCACCTGAGCTGGGCACTCTAGGTGCACCCCTGTGTGGGCTTAGTGTACGGTCTTATAGTTGAACCTCTATTGCTGTTGGCCTGAAGGTCAATTTGCTATGAGGACCAGTTGGGGCTACAGTGGAAGAGCAGCTGTGTAGGAGGCACCCCTGTGTAGCAGGACTTGCTTCACTGGGGCTTTGGTGCTCGCTGAGTCTGCCTTTTGAGTGTGTCACTTGTGGATGTGTAGAGTTGTAGTTTGTGATGGTCTGAAGCTGGCCCCCTGGTGCACTGGCTCTAGGGTGTCCCAGGAGGTGCTAAGTCAGCCACTGCCTGGGGCCACCTGGCAATAGATACAGAGAGGTCTGCAGAGGCTGCTATTTGTATTGGGCTTATAAGTGCCCATGCGAGGCCCAGCTGTGGAGCAAGGCAGGCTGGTGCTAGTGGTGAGTCTTAAGCCTCTTACTGATATGTTTGGGGCATGCTGACACCAGCTACTGCTTGTTTGAGAGATTTTAGAAAAGTCTGAAGCCTCAGCCATGATAGGCCATTCATATGGGAAAACCACTGCAAACAGCTTGGGTGGGGCTGCAGATTGGATGGGGCAGGGTCTCAGAATCACCAGGGTGGAGTGAACAGTGTGTTCCAGCTAGTGAACACTCAGATATGGCTGCCAGTCAGCTCTGTGACACCAGAGCTCCCAGCACAGGAACAGTGACCCTTGTGAGCTCCCTGATCTGGGAGAAAGCTGCCCCTGAGTTCCTGCTCCAATACCAGACAGTCTAGTTCCTCTCCGTATGTTGGGGTGCTGCAGGCCCTTGAGCATCTCGGCCTCCTGGTGCTGGAGCTCAGAAGGTGTGATTCCGTGTAAGTCCGTGTGCCTTGTCCTTTAAGAGGAACACCTGGGTCTGCAACAGCCTCTGTGTCACTCAGCTACAATCCCTGCTGGTTTTTACAGCCCAGAGTTACGGGAACTTCTCTTCTCAGCTCTGGAACCCTGGGCTGGGACCCCTTGCTCCACATGGGAGGCCTTTGCAGCTGAGATCTCCCTCCTGATTTAAAAAACACCACAGGCGGGTGCTGGACCAGCCTGTTCCATGCCTCCGCCCCTCCTACCAGCGTCCATGTGCTTTCCTCTTTACTTCTCTAGTTGTAGGGCTTCCTTCCAACCCAGTTTCAGGCAGTTCTGAATGATGTGGTTCTGTCTTTTAGTTGTAATTTTGATGTGGTTGTGGGAGGCCGCGAGTACCTGCGCCACCATCTTGGTTCTCCGGGAATTTCGATTGCTCCTTTTTCAGTAGAAACTTGCTCTCATTTATGTGTGTCAGCCTCGTGGACCTTTGAGCACATGAGCTAGATGTTCTCGAAGTTGTCTTTGTTTTCTCCTGGTATTCCTTTGATCTGGGGTGCTCGTGCCAGCTGGGCCCACTTGGCATGGCGAGGCTGATGGGGGTTTGTGGGATGGGGCTGGTTTGTGGGGAAGGGTGCCTAATGCTCAGAGCACCACTTGGGATAGAATCCCGTAACCTGATGACCTCTATAAGACCCCAGCCCCTCCCCGCCTCCTCTCTGGATTTGTTGGAATCTTTATGCCTTTGGGCTCTTTTGGAAATATCCCCGGAGTCCAGGCCTGTGTTTCCTTTCAGCTTTGATTTCTCCAAATGCACCTCTTCTGCTTCCTGCAACTCCTCAAAGCTCCCCGTTCACTTACAGCTGTGTTCCTGTGTCCTGGGGCTCCTTCTGTGGGAGGGCCGGGTGTGTGCTGCCAAGCTCTGTGAGCTCGCTGGACTGCGACAGAGGTGACATTGGGGGCCATGTGCTCAGGATGTGGGAGAAGCGTGCTGGGGCCCGCAGAGGTGAGGTTGATCTGTGAGGCGAAGTTAGACGCAGGAGGCTGCTGGGACGGACGAGGCAGGGCCTGGGTGTGGAAGGTGTGGGGTCAGGTGTGGCCTTTGGGTGGGGTGCTGGAGTGTGCTCCATGTGCTTTGGGTGTGGGTGCAGCATGTGTGCCTGTGCCAGCACCGACGTGGGCGTGGCTGGGACCCTGGCCTCCTCTGCCGTTGGCTCTGGTTATGATGCTGTGGGCATGAACTGGCCTCAGAGTCCCATGTCAGTGTTTCCCTTCAGCAGTGCTGGATCCCAGGTGCTCCAGGAGGCGCCCTCGGTGTGCGCAGGGAGGGGAGCACGGGCACTGCAGTGGCTGGAGGTTGCTTTGGCTCTGGAGATCTTTTTCTTTTTTAACCCTCACCCAAGGATATGTTTTTCATTGAATCTAGGGAGAGAGAGAGGAACATCGCTGTGAGAAACATCCATCGGTTGCCTCTGTGCGTGCCCCCACTGGAGACTGAACCCGCAACCCGGGTACGTGCCTTCACCCAGGAATTGAACTTGTGACCCTTCAGTGCCCTGGACAACACTAACTAACCCAGCCACATCCACCAGGGCAGAGCGCTTTCTGTCCCCTTCCCCTCCCCTCCCCCTTCTTTGTGCTCCCTGAGCAGGAGGAATGAGGGAGTGACCCCCTGGGATCAGCAGGCTCTGTGAAAGGCCGTGCCCTGTCCCGCTCAGCTGTGCCTGTCTCTCTAGGACCGGAAGCTCACCAAGCTCGAGCGGCAGCGGTTCAAGGAGGAGGCCGAGATGCTCAAGGGCCTGCAGCACCCCAACATCGTGCGCTTCTATGACTTCTGGGAGTCCAGCGCCAAGGGGAAGCGGTGCATCGTGCTGGTGACGGAGCTGATGACCTCCGGGACGCTGAAGACGTGAGTGTGTCGCCTGCCTGGCCGCCTGGCCCACCAGGGCCTCAGGGTGGGCTCGGCCCAGGGCGCAGGGCCCACAGCAGCCGGTGGTCCTGCCTGGTGTTTGGTCAGCACTCCTGCCTCACAGGGTGCCCTGCTGGGTGACAAATGCACGGCCCACCGCAGTGGGAAGCCCTTTCACACACGAGCAGCCAGTGACCGGCAGCCCCGCCCCCCCTTGCAGGTACCTGAAGCGGTTCAAGGTGATGAAGCCCAAGGTGCTGCGCAGCTGGTGCCGGCAGATCCTGAAGGGGCTGCTGTTCCTGCACACCCGGACACCCCCCATCATCCACCGGGACCTCAAGTGTGACAACATCTTCATCACTGGGCCCACCGGCTCCGTCAAGATCGGCGACCTGGGCCTGGCAACCCTCAAGAGAGCGTCCTTTGCCAAGAGTGTGATAGGTGAGCTCAGCTCTCCCAGGCCCTGCCACCCCCGCTCCCCCCTCTTCCCCTCAGCCAGGCTGTGGCCTCCGGGCCGCGCGGGGCTGTGGGTCAGGTGGTGGGGCTGGCGCCTGTGGGCTGTGGCACTCAGGCGCAGGAAGGCGGCCTGAAGGACAGAGCGGTTGGGGACTCCGGCTGGTGAGGCTGGAGCGCCCTCTGCAGGTGGGGAGCCCAGGTATTTGGGCCTGGAGTGAACAGGTGTCTGGGTGGGCGGGGCCTGGGGCTTCAGTGTGGGTGCGGCTTACTGGCTGTGCTGGCCTCTGCCTTTCTCTTCCTCCTCTGAGAGCCAGTCCGCAGCCTTTCTGGGCAGAGCCCTCAGAGGAAGGGAGGGGGAGAGAGATATTGGTTGACTGCCCCCTGCACGCCCCCTGCTGGGGATCAAGCCTGCAGCCCCAGGCATTGCCCTGACTGGGAATCAAACCTGCGGCCTTCTGGTTCATGAGATGATGCTCAACCACCAAGCCACAGCGGCCGGGGCCCTGGCTGCAGTCAGGGGAGACAGGGGCGTCTGGCCTCTGTGTGTGGCCATAGTGGGGTCCTGGCAAGCAGGGGGTGCTCTTTGTCCACAGGGTCTAGGCCTCAGGCACTGGGCCCTCCTGGCTTTGCCAAGAGAGGGCTTGGAGGGGCTTTGGGGCAGCTCTTTATGGGGTTCAAGACATCTGGAACACACTAACGTGCTGCAGGGCCTGATGGCTCCCAGCGGGGCTCCATGAGACACCACAGAGATAGCTGTGTAAACCCTCAGCTGAGGACATGTTTCCACTGCTTTGAGAAAGAGGGAGAGAGAGAAATATCAATGATGAGAGAGAATCATTGGTTGGCTGCTGCCTGCACTCCCCCAACCCAGGCATGTGCCCTGACCGGGAATCAAATCTGTGACCTTTCAGTGCACGGGACGATGCTCAACCATTGAGCCACACAAGCCAGGGCTGTGGTAGAAACATTTTGAAGACAACCCCCCTCTCGCCATATGCTTTCTAACACAACAGCTAGTTCATGGTATTTTGCATCTGCTTTTTAAGAAACTTGGACCTTCAGAAAACCTTCCATAGTCAGTGGAGAAGTTAAAAAGTAGCCTCACTGAAGAGGATGCCCCTTTGTGTTTAGCTTGACAGATGCTCAGTTGGACTTGTTCTCACAAAAGGAGTGTGATTATTAGAGCAAAAATTTGTTACAGAAAAACTAAAAAAACCTAGACCAGTGTCACTAAGGAAAACCGCTGTCACAGCTGCCAGATGAGTCCCGTCTGTGCTCATGGCCGCGCACCGTGAGGTCAGCGTGTGCACACGTGTGTATTTTGTGTACTTTACTCTGCCTGTGGTAAGTCTTCACGGCCTTAATTCAGAGTGAACATCATTTTAAAACCTTGTGTCTTGGAACGCATGAACGGTCTCCGCCTGGTACCTGCCAGCAGTGCCCGTGCCGTCCTGGTCTGCTGCCCACGCTCTGCCGTGCGAGGGGCCTGTCTGGGGATGTTGGGGCTCTTCTGGGTTTTTGCCATCTCAGCTGTTCTGTGGTGGCCACGGGTATTGTCTGCTCTGGTTCCCTGGGCCTGCGGAGGGGAGTGCGGGCTGTGCTCTGCCCTGAGAGGCACCCAGCGTTTCCCCGCTCTGTGGGCGGGTCCAGCCAGAATCAGGAGGGTCCTGGGTGGGCTTTTGGGAACCTCTGTCTAAGGAACAGTCCTGTTTGAGTCGGGGCTCCGGGACCTGCTGCCCAGCACGGGGCGGGGCGGGGCTCCGGGCCGCTGACCGCTGACCCTGCACCTGTTGCCCGGCACAGGCACCCCCGAGTTCATGGCGCCCGAGATGTACGAGGAACACTATGACGAGTCCGTGGACGTGTACGCCTTCGGCATGTGCATGCTGGAGATGGCCACCTCGGAGTACCCCTACGCGGAGTGCCAGAACGCCGCGCAGATCTACCGCAAGGTCACCTGTGTGAGTGCAAGTGCCGCCGCGGGAGCCTCGGAGAGCCCGCGCTGCAAGGGGAGGGGCCGCGCCTTCTCCCATGGGGAAGACGGAGGCGCTCCGGCTCCAGCTGCAGGTGGAGCCGCAGCAGCAGTGATGCGAGTGCTGAGGGCAGTGCCCAGGGCTGCCAGGGCCTCAGCGCTGCAAGGCTGGAACCCCTCCTCTGGGCCATGCCAGGGACTGCGGGCGTGTGAGTCCCCAGGATTTAATCAGACAGACCAGGGTTCTCCCCTGCAGCCGTTCTGCCTGGGGGAGCACAGCGGGCGCGGTTCCGGGCCCTAGTCTGTCCCTGTCTGCGCCTGCAGCACTGGGCGGGCTCCCCAGACAGAGCGCTCCCTTCTGTAGGCTCCTGGCTTCTGCAGAGGAGCCTGGTTCTTGCCACCCCAGGCACCAGCCCACTGCACACTCCCGAGCCAGCCTGGGGTTCGCTGGCTCTCACCTTCAGTTCTCAGTTCTGAGTTAGTGGTCACGTGTGAGCTCTGAGCCCCTCCTGCGTGCTGCTCAGGCTTTGGGCTTCGAGGAGGAGAGCAGGGCTCTGGTTGGAGGCCCCGGGGTGGGTCAGGACCACAGTTGGTGCAGCTCCCTCTGCTGCTGGCAGGAAAGGCTGTGGGCACTTCCTCCAGGATGGCGGGGCCTTGGTGTTGGCTCTGGGTGTGGGAGGAGCCGCCTGGAGACCCTCGTTCTGGTCCACCTGCTGGCCTGGGAGATGGGCTGAGCCCCGAGGGCGTGCTCCTCGGCCACCTGGTTCTCCCAGCAGCCCCACTGCCCTGTTGGGCCCCAGAAACAAGCCATGGCCAGGTCCCGAGGCGCCTGTGGTACCCATACTGGTTTGGGAAAGCAAAGCACAGCCAGACAGCATGTCCCCGAGGAGGCAGCGGGCAGCGTGTTCCTGACCTTCAGTGTGTCCTCGGGCCAGTGACACCTGTACTCCTGCCGTCAGCTCACTCCTTGTGCACCCACACTCGGCCCAGGCTCTGGGGGGATCACTGTGCCCTCGGCTTTCAGCTCCCCTGGCTCCGTGCAACGAGCCCAGACATGGCCCCTCCAGAGCCGTGCCTTGTTCTTCTGGCACAGTCTTCACCGGCTTTGGGGGCTCCGGTTTCTCAGATGTAAGTGGCAGTGTGCCCACCTGCCTGTGATGGTTCCTCAGACCCGCCCACAGGGTCCTCCCTTCCTCCCGGCAGCAGGAAGCCTCTTGCTCTGTGGCTTCGGGGAGAGGCACAGCTCTTGCCTCCACGGGGAGCACTCTCCGCTCCTGAAGCCCAGGGTCCCGTGTCAGACTCTCGCCCGCATCAGACACAGCACGACCCCCGTTGGCTACGGGCGTGGTCCTGGGGGTCAGGGTTTGGTGGGTGCAGTGGGGCCTCACCTGGACTGCGGAGTTGTGGGGCATTTTCTGGCCTGTCCCCCCTCATGGTGGGAAAACGCGCTCCCCATTCTATACATGAAAAAGGACATCGGGACGGCCTGGGAGGGGGGTCTTGCTGAAGGAGAAAGAACATGATGGCTGAGCCCTTACTGTGTTTAAATGTTTAGCCCCCGGATGTCCCTCAGGCAGCCCCTCGCTCCTGCAGATGACAGAGAAACCCTGCGGTCTGGCCCCGTACCTGCAGTACTGTGCGCTTTTGCCCGCACCGTGGCCAGGCTGCACGGTGACTGCCCGCTGGGCTCTGGTCCGTGTGGATGCGTGGCACACCCTGGCACCCCTGCCTAAAGGTCGTCTGGCCTGGTCGCTGCCACAGAACTGGATGGTGGAACTGAATAGCACAGTCGTTTGCAAAAGCCTTGAGCTACGGGCCTGGGAAATCAGCCCTCCGTGGGCCAGGGCCTCGGCGGCCCTGCGTCAGCCGCAGTGGCGCCCCTGAGCAAGCGCGTGGGAGAAAGGCTGGCCTGGGAGGGCCTTTCCTCCTTCCGCCTCCAAGACCCTCGGGCAGATCCATCAGCCCCGCCTCCTCCATTCTCCAAAGTGGGTGAGGGTCCCCACTTCCTTCCCCAGCTCATGCCCACAGGTCCCCACCCGAAGCCGGTCTTCGGGGTTAGTGTGAGGAGAGTGGGGGCCCTGGGGAGCCCAGTTCCGTGTCAGGTGACGCTGCTTATCTCTGCAGGGCATCAAGCCGGCCAGCTTTGAGAAAGTGCACGATCCTGAAATCAAGGAGATTATTGGGGAGTGCATCTGCAAAAACAAGGAGGAGAGGTGAGTTCCCAGCGGCACTGGGCCCACTGAAATCTTTCCAGCTGGCCTGCAGAGAGCTTCGGTCACGGGCGCCAGCCCGCTGCAGTCAGTGGGACGCACTGGAATACACTCCTTGACCTTGGGGACTGTCCTGGAGCCCTCTTTTCATCTGCTGGGAGCTTCCGGCCCACCAGGGGGTTCCTGGGGCCTCGCTCTGCCCCTTGCCTTTTCTCTGTGTGTTCTCTGGTGGATCCGTCTGTTCCGGCTTGCAGGATGCCCCCGTGCCCAGCCTCCCTGTGCGGCTTATCTTGCCCTCTCCCCTGAACTCCAGGCTGCACATCCCATGCACCTGTGTCTGATCCATCCAAACCTCCTGCAGCTTATCATGTTCGAGTCCGGAGGCCGCCCAACCGCCCACCTCCTCAGGTGAGCTTTCCTCCTTCCCCTCTTTCCGTTCCTCCCTCCCTCCCCCTGCGCCCCTCTCCTCTGCCTTCCCCCTGCCCTTCCTTTCCTGCCCATCTTTGCCCTCCCGTCCTCCTCCTCCTCCTCCGCCTCCACAGCCCTCGCCTCCAGCCCCATGTTCAGTCACTGTGCCCAGGGTTGGTCACTGCCATTGTCCACAGCTGCCGCCTCTGGGCCGGGCCCGGGCCCGGGCACTTCTCCCCCGCAGGTCGTCATGTTGTGTTCGCTAAGGAGAAATGCTAAACAGTGAGCTCCCCCTCTCAGCAGTGCAGGAGCACACAGGGTGGGAGAATCCTCGCACAGACCCTGTGAGACCGCCTCCTAGCCAGGATGCCAGCGCCTGCCAGGACCTCGCCGGGTCCCCTGCGTGTGCCGGCCCTGCAGGGCTGGGCTCTGGAGCTCGCAGCCGTGGGGACCAGAGTTGACCCTGGCGGAGGCTGTGTTGGGGCAGTGCATGGATCCATTCCTGCCGGACAGCAGCTAGTGTTTAGAATGCTGGGGAGCAAAGTGATTACCATGGCAACTCCCAGCCGCTGTGCCTGCCCTGTCCTGAGGAGCTTCCAGAAAACCCCTGAATATGGTTCCAGATTCCAGGTCCCATTCAGTCCTATGGAGCCAGGTGTCTGACGCGGGGCCCCCTGCCCCACAGCGGCCCGTGTCCGCACCGCAGAGCCTGGCTGACCGGCCCTCCCTGGGCTCCTGGGCTCTCACCCTGGGCATGCTTCCTCATTATAATCAGAGAAGAGCCTCAAATGCTGCCCGGTGAGATGTGTCAGGAGCCATCTTGTCCCCCCAGGAGGCAGGGCGTGCACTGGTAAGCTGCTCCGTGCCCCCTGGAGGCAGAGCAGTCGAGCAGGTGGTCCAGACGGTCCAGAGAGCGGGTGGCCTCCGCCCCAGCAGGTGTGCCCTCAGCTGCTCCCTCCCCAGGTACGAGATCAAGGATCTGCTCAGCCACGCCTTCTTCGCGGAGGACACGGGCGTGAGGGTGGAGCTGGCTGAGGAGGACCACGGCCGGAAGTCCACCATTGCCCTGAGGCTCTGGGTAGAGGACCCCAAGAAACTGAAGGGCAAGCCCAAGGACAATGGGGCCATAGAGTTTACCTTTGACCTGGAGAAGGAGACGCCAGATGATGTGGCACAGGAGATGGTAAAGTGACACTCACTGCAGTGGGCTGTGGAGGGTGGCGGTGGGCGTTGGTGGGCAGTGGAGGGTGGCGGTGGGTGTTGGGTGGGCAGTGGAGGGTGGCGGAGGGCGTTGGTGGGCAGTGGAAGGTGGCGGTGGGCGGTGGTGGGCAGTGGAAGGTGGTGGTGGGTGTTGGTGGGCAGTGGAGGGTGGCGGGCGGAGGTGGGCAGTGGAG